GTAATTTTCTTATCTTCCTTCGAGTGAATCATGTATGGTTAGTTGATCATAGAAAATATGAAAAAGTTAATTTGTATTTTATACCAAGTGTGGGTAGAGAATGTCTTATATGGCGACAATATGTTTGATTAGAGTGTATAAACCATATATATATACTCATGCACTGTATTGTTACTATAAACACATTTTTTAAACAAGAGGAGGAAATTCTACTTCATCATTTCTATTAAGTACTTGGAACTGTAAAGATCAAAATGTTCGTTTGTTTATTAATATAATATTATTGTTGGAAGCAATCATTTGTTGAATCAAGTCGAGTCAAAGTTAATTTTTGCTCTAGAATTTGTCAGTGTTACAAGGTTTTATTTATTTATTTATTTATTTTTTTTTTTATGTAATAGCTTACGCACTCTTGCATTAGTGTAAAGCTATCGCTATTCATTTAGGTCATTCAAGTTGAGAATTTGATTTAAAAAATTAATTCATATGAGAGAAAATATTATAACAGAAAATGTTGAATTTAAATTTTTATGAGATAAAATATTATAGTAAAAACTTGAGTTGTAATTCGTACTAACGAAACGAACCGAAAGCAATGAAAATACCTAGAATAGTCTCAGAGCTTCTTGATTTCTGTTTATTATTAGTCAACATTGTTAGCAGACTGCGTCAAAATGATACCATCTTGGAGCAATGAAAATAAATGAAAAAAAAGGGATAAAAGAGATGAGAAAAAAAGAGAGAAGAAATGATCAAAGGAAAATTTTAATACAAGAAACTTGTACGAGACATGATTTATGACGAGACATGATTTATGATAACAAGAAGCATATTAATAAAGTTTCTGCATAAAATTGACAGTAAATCAACGATGGAGGCTGCACTGCATAACCACACCGTCGGCAAGATATATAATACTTCTAATTATTCGTTGGTTATATTATATATAAAGAAAACAACTAATCCAATGATTTGTTTAAGCTTAAACATAAAGTAGATATTGATATCTAACAGCTTTGCATGCATACATACAAGGTGGAAATTAAGTTCATGATAGTAATGTAATACCAACTAAATATTATAATACAAATAATATTGTGTAATATAGATGTTAGAGAGGACAAATTTACAAGTCTTTTCTCAAACGCTAATAAGAATCTCATTCGCAATTAATTAATTGTTTATACATTAATAAAATTGTATGCCCATTAGGCACTGTCAGTGATTTAACATGGGTAGTTGGCATTATTGAAATTGTGCGTCTTCAGCGATATTATTAATATGCCATGGATATTACAAAATTAGGTGATAATTTTTACGGTAAGAATTGTTATTTTATTATACCGATAGAAACTGTCAGTTATTTTTTTAATTTTTTAACTGTTTGATAATGTAAGTGTTCACATTGCAACGAAAAAACTATTCTTATTCATAGATTAGATCGTTAAAAAATTAATCTAACGGTTAAAATAACAATTTCTATTAATAAAATAAAATAGCATCTCGTGTGTCATAAAAATTTTCAATTAGTAAAGTACCGCAAAGAGAAGCTAATTTTAGAACACAAGTTTGATTGAAGAGAGTCACTGTTTTGTAAAGAAACCAATTAATTAGTTGTTCAAATGGAGTTCACAATCGTCATACGTCTGGATGAAGTGCATTTATTTGAAAACTTATTGAAGGCTTTTTCATAGAGATTAAGAAAGTTTAAAAACCTTCTCTTTGTTCCAAATCTTGGCAAGAAAATTATTGGCATCGGAATTTTTCTACTATTTCATTTTCTGGATGCAGTGCATTTATTTGAAAATTTTATTGAAGGTTTTTTCGTAGAGATTAAGAAAGTTTGGCAAGAAAATTATGGGCATTGGAATTTTTCTACTATTTCATTTTCAGGTCAACATCCTTGCACCAAGGTTTCTCACCACAGAAAGTCACAACCAATTATATCTAATTGCGTGTAGTGAAAAGTTATAATGCAAAATCACAGCATGTTTTGAAATTTAATTTTACTTCTGATCGTAACATATGAAATTTTGACTAAATATATTTCAATGAAACGGTTACCCATATTATTGGGGGCAAAAGATAACAATTCTATGAACATCTATTTTTGTTAAAGAAAACGGACAAAGCTTAATCAAAGTAAATATGATGAACAAGGCTCTGTGGACCAACGGTTGAAGAATATTCAAATTTTATTGTGACACATGTGACCCCATACTTGATGACAAATGTCACGTCCGATCAATCAAATAGCGAACTGATCTTCTAAATTATTTCTTCACTTATGGTAGTTCGGCCTCACTCACAGCTGAGACACGTGTGTATACCTTTAGAACCTCTTATATATATATATATATATATCCATATATATATATATATTTATATATGAGCTTAGAGTGTTTGATACGAGAATTCGTGTCATGATTCGAAACATGATTCGTGACTCGTTATAGTATTTTTTCTCATAAAAATATGCGTAAATTAAAAATAATTTTAAATCATGATTCTGAATCTGTGAATCAAATGTCCAAATATTATCTATGGTTAGAATTAATTAAACTACGTGGGACTTAAAATTAGGATGGTTTACCAGTTGATTAGAAATTAAAAAAAGATTTAGAAACAAGAACAACAATGGTAATTAAATTAGTATTATTCGCTTTTATTCAACTGATAGATATTCCCTAACATACATACACATCCTATAATAAGTTCGATTAAAAAAAAAACCAAAAATTCAACATTGTTTTATATATACCAGCTATATCTTTACTCTTTTATTAATCAATTATTTATGCAGACAGATCCCGTGCAAGTAGATATATTTTTGTTGGAGGAGAATATATATGTGATCCAACAAATTATATATATGTTTGAGATTCAACAAGCACATCAAAACAGATGACCAACAGGCTAGGAAAGCAAATAGAGAAGACGAAAATTTTTGGCCTGCATGCTAATTCAAATTAAAATAAATTATATATGTTACAGACTGGAATCACGTAAGCCACATGCAAATCCTAGAGCACATCTTATCGCGTAATAAAATAAATAACCGTTCGGGCAATAATGTTACCTTTTAGCAAAAAAGTTTTTTTTTTTTTTTTTTTTTTTTTTTTTTTTTTTTTTTTTCCCAAAGTCGAATTGTTAAAAATAAAATGTACACTTACTTTTCGAAGGAAAGATATCTTAGATCAGTTACATTAACTATACATTCACGCGCGTACATAATCAATTTTATTTTCGAGTTCGAGATTTCTAATTAAGAATGATTATTCACAATAAGACAAATGACAAGAGGAAATGAATTTTTTTGAAATAAAAAGGAAATTAATTTAAAGGATAAAGAAAAGAAATATACATAATATGGGTTCAGACTCATAAGAAAATACGAACTATAGGCACAAGGCACAAACTTATTGACATAGAATAAGAAGAATTTTATTACTTAGTTATTATTATTATTATTTTTTTTTTGAGTTTAGTAGTAAGAGATTTGAACTCTATTGTGAGTTTAATAAGAAAAATCAAGTGTGGATCAAGTTATACAATGTCTGGCTAAACAGCCAAAATATATATATTATATATTTGGTAGTTGTGCAAAGATAGCTTAATTATTATGAAAATCTTTGAATTAACGGCCAGCAAAATTGTTTACTTTAACCCCACTAGCTGGCTGAGACAAAAATCCTAGCTAGTTTTGCAGATATATATATATATATATATATATATATATATAAATATAGACACACACACACACACACACAGATATAGCTACAGCTTATATGTTATTTTAAAAAAAAAACATATTAATACATATTTTTTTATCCTGTAGTTCCAATTTAGACGTGGACGTTCACAAATGTACTCCAAAGGAGGCGGCTACTAGAAAAATGTTTTTGGTACTTACCGATTTATTCTTTTTTACCCAGTTTTGTTATTAGATGGATTAATACAAATCTTGAAGATAATAGTAAAAGACACAAGGAAATAGTATTGTGGTTCGGTGACCACCTATATCTGTGAGGTTACGTCCAGATGTTTGAACAATATACTAAATAAACAAAGTTACAACTCAAATGGACTTATTCTACCTGAGACTCTCTCTCTAAGTATGACGCTTATGATTTTACAATTACCTAATGGACTTGCTCAGCAAGATCCCCTCGATTTATAAAGTTGAAATTACTCGAACACTTAAATTCCTTCAACACCTCGACTTACAAATTTGAAATCACTTGAACACTTAAATCTCCCGAAAACTTAAATTCCTTCTTCCGAAGAAATATGAGAAACAAATGCTCATAAGATAATCTGACTCTTTGAAATTCTGAGGTTCAAAAGGCGTTCTGAGATCATTGTGAGACTAATTAATTAAATAACCAAATAAACCAGCTATCAAAAATCTTTAATACAATCTACTATCGACAATCTGTTGCAGATTTTGTTGCAACAAATATTGTACAATCTTCATATAATTGCTCCATGATTTTGGACATCTTAAGTAGCAAGAGAAGATTTCTTTTGCATGAAATCATTCCACTTAAATCCAAGTTTCCATATCCAAAATAAGAAACCTTTAAATGCATTTGACTTTCGCCAAACCAGATTTCTTCAAATCTAAAATTTCCCAAAACATATATTCTGGGGCAAATCAATTTACAAGATAAATATTCTGCAGCAAATTAATCAACTCATCTATTTTTAACTTACCAAAGATACTCAAAAGTCGACTTTAATCAATTTGATTGATTCTAAACAGTTTCCAAATAAATTTTACCGCTGCCATTTAATCTTCAATCAGATCAATCTCCAAAACATACTAAAAATAATGCCAACAATAAAAAAGCCAATCAAATCCGAAAATTAAATCAGAACCAAAATCCCAACAGGTACTATAGCGTCACGGTCACCATAACCACACACATATGAGCGCGCGTGTGTTATATATACATATATATATAATATATATATAATTATAACGTTACCTAGTTGTACCACCTTTTAAGTGCTTTGAAATTTTCCACATCCATTTATTCATCATCAATTAGTGATCTCTTCCAATTCCATACTCTCTCTTTCTCTCTCCGTCTCTCTATCTCAATGAAGTATCAAGCCAACGGTCAGCTTCCCTATGGGATCAAAAGCCAGAATAAGACCACAAAATTCGTCGTTATAGCGGTCATGTCCCTGGTCCTATTCACAACCGTCCCTCTCTATTACCCTTCTCTAACATACTCTTCATTTATCTTCACAAGCTTCAACTCGGATCACGAGTCCTCCTCTCCTAATTCGTCGGAGCGCTCCGATGAGTACGACGGAGCCATTCCGACGTCGTCGACGCACAAGTGCGACATATTCTCCGGTGAGTGGGTCCCGAACCCCGACGCGCCCTTCTACACGAACAAGACATGTTGGGCCATTCACGAGCACCAGAACTGCATGAAGTATGGGAGACCCGACACCGAGTTCATGAAGTGGAGGTGGAAGCCGGACGGGTGTGAGTTGCCCGTTTTCAACCCGGCTCAGTTCTTGGAATTGGTCAGAGACAAATCACTGGCCTTTGTGGGAGACTCCGTGGCAAGAAACCAAATGCAGTCCCTCATTTGCCTTCTCTCCAAGGTAAGACTAATTTTAGTAATTTTTCAACTTATTATTTAACATCTTGAGCCTCATCATCATATATAATCATAGTTTTGTGCATGCTTTGAACATTTCTTCTCTTTCTTTCATTTATCCACGTATCTAGATTACTCGTAACATTCACTCCACACATTTTTTTTTTTTTGTTTTTCCCGTTGGTGGAGAGAGAGTTGCTCAAGATTAGATTTTTCTTTGAGCTATTCTTATGTTAAAATATAGTACTAGCTAGGATGAGTTATATGTGATATTGTCTAGTTAGCAAAACTAACTCCATATGACACATAATTTTTTTTTTTTTTATGAGAAAATATTTTGGTTCAACATTATTGATTGTACGAATTAATTTGAATTATTGTTACTTTGATATATAGATATAAGTTTAAAAAGTTTTGTTGTAAGGTTTGTTTACCTACGCCTTGAATTATTCAAGGATTAGGTAAAAGGCATAGATAAGGGGATATTTGTTTAGTGCACACAGAACCTGATGTACATCTTGGTTTTGGTAAGTAGCATATGGAATGGAATCTTTGCCAATGGGTTCTAATGAGTGTGTCTTGCACCGCACATGATTAGGCCAAGACAACATGTGAAAGCTCTTTTTTTTTTTTTTCTCTTTGTATTTTATCACAATACATTGAGGCACGTCTCGCTACATGCCACGTGGCATGTCAGCCTTATGCTAGAAGCACATAGAAAAAGCAATACAAACAATTAGATATTTTAATTAGTATTTTTGGGCCGAAAAAGAAAGAACGTTTGATGTTATTTATGAGGATATGTCCATTCTTTCTTTCTTTCTTTTTCGGCCCTCACATTCCCCCTTTTTATTAACCCGTGTAATATGTTAGTACTGATTAGACCATACGATACCCATATCTGTAGCAAAATTTCTCTTCTTTCAACGAAGAATATTAATATCTGTTTTTCAAAACAAATGATAGCCACCTATTTGTTCTTTAACAATATAAATTGGCCTTAAATCTCAATTTTTATCTCAGACATGAGAATTGTTGTTTTTTTTTTTGGATAAGTATTTAAAAAATCTTATATTATTTATATTAATAGATTACATTTACCAATAAAAAGAAAATACTCATTAAAAAATAAGTAGAAAACTTATCGTAGGGATCTCTTTCACTAATTATATCATTTAGTGTCTGTCACCCATGTATCTACATTACGGTAGATGAGACATTGTTTTCAAATTAATGAGAAAAATAATGGCACGTTTAACGCCTAACTGAAGGGTAAAGGGCAGCATTTCTCCAGAATTTTTTTCCTATTATTTTCTTTTATTTTTGGGTGGAAAAAGAAAAATAAAAGAAATAGAAAAGATAATTAATTTCTCTTGGATGTCTTCTCTCAATTTTATAGCATATACCCAAAAACAAAACTATAGCTCTCCCTCCCTCCCTCCCTCTCTCTCTCTCTCTCTCTCTCTCTCTCTCTCTCTCTCTCTCTCTCTCGCCCACAGCTGGAAAGGAATCAAAATCGAAAAACCACATGTACTGATAGCTTTTTTTTAAATTATTTATGTCACACACTGTCTTTTGACATTCCAACCAATTGGTATAAAGTTGTTTGGTTCATATGCTTTGATGTTTTTCTTCTATTCATTCATTTATTTTTTTCTGGAAGATACTTGTTAATTAGCTGAGTATATCATCATTTTATAATATAATATAATTTAAATTTCACAATCCGGCTTTGGTGTTCTTAATTACTAATCATGCACGTATCTAGATTTACATAACTTGGTCTTCTAAATTTTTAAATTTATTTTTTACCTGCAGACTAAACCTTGAAACCAAAAGTGCATATCATTGTGTGTTAATTATTCTAATTGTACCGTATGCATTGAGGTTAGGGATCATCATTTCTCGCCCTTTTTTCAATGTCAAGTTATATCACAACTAAAGGGCATTTAAATGATCTAGCAATTTGGGATCAATAAACTTAATTACTTTTATTTTGCACAATTATATACGATATTCTGTACAATTTGTTATTAACTAGAAATCACTCAAACTATTGAAGAATTATGGGATATGGTACAAAATTGTGCTTACATTATTAACTAGAAATCACTCATTTACCACATCGTTCATTTTACCGATTCGAGTTTTGATATATAAAAAGTTTTCAGAAACAATTACATCTAATTTTTTTGTTACAGTAAAAAGCTCTCACATAAAGTCACATCTCAACCCTAATTAAAAACTCGAATCATCAAACTGAACGTGCCCGAATTGTTTGATTTATTGAGGTCTCATCAACGTACATATTGGCTGACTCTCATTTTATATGTAGTAGTATTTTTTGATTTATTGAGATCTATCATCAACTTAAATATTGGCTGACTCTAACTATGTATGTATTTCTACTCATTTCTTTTCTATTCCATATATTATGGCCTTATTAATTTTTAGTTTTAAATAAAATTTCTTGGTTCTGTTACTACTCATAACGGTTAGATCTCAATATTTCAAATTTTGCTTATATATTTAGGTGGAGTATCCCATTGATGTCTCATACACCTCAGATCAAAGGTTCGCGCGGTGGAAGTACACCACCTACAACTTCACTATGGCCACCTTCTGGACACCCCATCTGGTGAAGGCCGAGGAGTCCGACTCGAATGGCCCTACCCACACCGGTCTTTTTAGCCTCTACCTTGATGAGTTTGATGAGAATTGGACTACCCAAGTCTCTGACTTCGACTACATACTCATCTCCGGTGGCCATTGGTTCTACCGCCCCGCCGTCTTCTATGAGAACCGCCGTGTCGTTGGCTGCCATTACTGCCTCCTCCCCAATGTCACTGACCTAGGCATGTACTACGGCTACCGAAAAGCCTTCAGAACCGCTTTCAAAGCCATCAATAGCCTCAAAAATTACAAAGGTAATAGAAATTGACCTTTTTAAGCGCATGAGTTCGATGTTAAAAGATCAACTTATTAAATGATGAGTGAAGATTTATTTTTTTATTTCCTGTCTCATTGGTTATTCGTTTAATAATATTTATATACCTCATGAATTGTGTATTTTAAGTATTTAATTCTCACGAATAACAAATAAGTAGAGAAGAAACATTCAATAAGATAAAAAAAATAGACCCATTAAGTAAGGTGGCCTAACATTTTTTTTTTTTGAGTTCAAGATTATTTTTACATTTAAATAATGTCGGACTTAGATTTATCTTACCCTTTACAGGAGTCACTTACTTAAGGACATTAGCACCTTCGCATTTTGAAGGTGGGCTGTGGAACGACGGCGGGAACTGCATCAGAACGAGGCCGTTCAGGAGCAACGAGACCCTCTTGGAGGGTCAGAGCATGGAGCTTTACATGACTCAGATTGAGGAGTTTAGGGCTGCGGAGAGGGAAGGGAAGAAGAGAGGGCTCAAGTTTAGGCTTCTTGACACGACACAAGCCATGTTGTTGAGGCCTGATGGTCACCCTAGTCGATATGGGCATTGGCCACATGAGAATGTGACGCTTTATAATGATTGTGTGCATTGGTGTTTGCCTGGCCCTATTGATACGTGGAATGATTTCTTGTTGGAGATGTTGAAGACCGAGCGTCTAAGGTCGGCTGAAGAGAGTCTTCATTCTAAGGACAGGAAGTTGCTTGTCAGATAGTTTGATTCATGTTGATGCTGATGATGTTGTTGTTGTTTTTTTTTTAAAATTTATTTAATAATTATTTTCCGATCATATTGTTTATGTATTTGGATATATGCCCATTAATTGGCGAGAAAAATATAAGCTCATCACCAATGTAAATGTCAATGTTAAAGTTATTTTTGCTATTTTGATTTGTGTTCTATACTTCTATTGTACAATAGAATTTCAAATGCCATGTCTAACTTTTGCTATCAATATTTCAAAATTTGAAATCAATGTGAACTTTTAATATTAAAATAGATTATAATGATTTAATGAAAAATTAATACACCAACCAATAGCAATGAAATGTCAAACTTGACATTTGCATACAATTTGCCAAATTTAATACCGGAAATAAATTGGATTGTAAAGTGATTTTTTTTTTCTTTTCATTCTAATACAAAAATTTTACATTGATACGGCATTAAGAAGTTCTAATATGACTAAGGTTGGATTCAGGCACGTATTTGCAAACAGTGTCTAAATTTGGTGGACGCACTAATATGTTGATTGAATCAAAGATGAACTAAAAGAAACACATTATTTTGATCTTCTGTTGTATAATAAGTAGATAATTTGAGCACAAAGTTACTTAGCCTTGTCTTGGTATTAAAGCCATGTTTGGTGCCTAACAGCTTATATATATGGGCCACATTATCCTCAGATGTAAAAATTTAGATATCTTTTTGTACAAATTTGACTGAGTTGAGTATGTGGTGGTCATGACTCAATGAGATTTTTATCTGCTTAATTCTCCGCTTCTTTTGAGCATTTCTCCTACCAACTCTGTAAAATAAAAGTGGTCATTTCTAAAACAAAAACAAAATAAAATAAAAGTGGTTTCATCACACAACTCTCCTTGTCATAGTTAAGTTAGATTGTTCCCCACATTAATGAGTACAAGGTATCAATATTCAATACTTGATCCCACAGAATTAAATGGGAACGTACGAATATAGCAAAAGATGATAAATATCAAGTGTGAATTATTGTTAGAAAAGTTAACATTTAATTAAGGTTTTCTTTTTTTTTTTTTTTTGGGTAAATTGTTTATTCACTTAGTTTTTTTGGTATTTGTTACTATACTTTAGACTGTTTATTTTACCGATTTGAGTTTAGAATTTAAATTTTATTACAGTAAAAAGTTTTTAGAAACAGTCACATTTAATTTTTTTACTACAGTAAAAAGTTCTTACATAAAATCACATTTCAACTCAAATTAACGAACTAAACAACTTAAATTAAAAATTTGAATAAGTGAACTAAACGGCCCTGTATGTACTTAATAGAGCTTGATCCTTTGTACATCCATTGTGTTTTCCCAACCCAATGCAACTTTCCATATTCTCTGCATTTTCAACTTCTCTGTTTTTCTCTGAAATTCCACGATTTAGCCGTGTTCGAACCGAATATCGCATTGATGAGGGAACGTTCGTCTTCTGCCACAATTTTTTGTCTTCTTTAGTTGACGCTATCACAAAAAAGTAAATAAATAAATAAGTCAAGACGCCCAAACGACACAACTTGTTCCCATCTAGTCCTGTTTTGTATCTTGACACTCAAGCCACGGTCAGAGCCTACCAGGCAAGAATATATGGCCCATAACTTCCTCGTCGAGTTTACGTTGTTTAGTGTTAGACGAAATTTCGCTTCAACGTTATCTATTTGTTATAGTTTATGTTGACAAACATCCTTGTTAATTAGAATTTAGAACAACTTGACTGAGTTTATAGTGTAATGATCACTAAACAGTAAACATTATTGGCCTTTTTCTTTGTATTAAGGTGGTTTATCAAACAAACCCCTTTTTCTTCTCATAGCTAGTTTCTTCTAGTAAAAGATGGAGCATTTCTTCAAGCATCTCAACCTTCCACAAAACATCAACATTCGGGTTATTTTACTCGTGCCTGGTTTGGTGTTCCTCTCTGTGACTTCTCTTCACTTGTTGAGCTCCTACTCATCTTCATCACCATGGCTAATTTCTTACATAAACAGCTTGAGTCTCGGAAAGAAATGCGACATGTTTCGCGGCGAGTGGATTTATCACCCGAATAGGATGCCTTTTTACACAAACTTCACCTGTCCTGAGATCTATGATCAGCAAAATTGTATGAAGTTTGGGAGGCCTGATTTGGACTTCTTGAAATGGCGGTGGAAACCCGTGGGATGCGAGCTGCCGCCGTTCGATGCTGCTCAGTTCTTGGAGCTCGTCAAAGGGAAGTCTATGGCCTTTGTTGGAGACTCCGTGGCCAGAAACCAAATGCAGTCACTGTTGTGCCTCTTAGCCACAGTAAGTACAAAGTATTACTCACTATTTAGTTATGTTTAAAGTATTTATTCTTATTTATATACAAGTAACAAACATAGATTATCATAACCACTAATCTTTAACTGATAAAATATTCAGTGGTGGAGTCAAACAAATGTTTTTAAAAAAAAAAAAAAACACAGCCATCATTATAAAATTCAATTATTGAATGCTGGTAAAAGTAGAATTGTTCTGCTAATATAAAGGAAATACTAAATCTTTTTAAAAAATTTTAAACATGAAAATTGAAATTTAAAAAGTTGATTAGGGACACTAGCCAACCTTAATTAATTATAAATAGATTTGCCACTTTGTAGTCACATGTTAACTCTAAGAAAAAAAACTTAAAAGATCACTGATGTTGAACGCAACGTGGGACACACTTCTATCAGTGTGTGGTGTTAAACACCATTAGTGCCTTTAAGCATTGTTATAACTCTTGGGGGGGGGGGGGGGGGGCAAAAAAAAAAAAAAGGTGGTGGAGGAACCAATAGCATTTTTCTAGATATATCTACAAGTTTGTAGCCCCACTTTGAAGAGGACAAATGAACCCCATTTTGGCCAATAAATGTGCATGATTTCAACAATAGCAGCCAAGCATGGGGTGGTCCATTTGACAAAGGGCGTGTTCTGAGGATAATTGTATTTGTTTGAGCTCACATAATATTTAAGCTTAGCTTGCTGCATGAACAATAAGGGCTAGCTAAGCTGATCATGTGCAAAAAGCAGTAGAGTACAAGTGGAGATATTCCGCATCAACATGTTGTGTTCAGTACAAAAGAGGAAAAAGCCAGTACTTTTTTGTGCTGTTCGTTTGATCTTTCCTAACAACTCTTTTTTTTTTTAAATTTTTAAAATTTTAATTTCCTTCTGAATTATTATTATATCAGGTGGAATATCCTGCAGATGTTTCCTACACAACAAGCTCAAAGTTCAAGCGCTGGCTCTACACAAACTACAACTTCACACTAGCAGCCTTTTGGTCACCTTTTCTGGTTAAAGCCACTGACACAAAACCAAAAAATGGGCTCACCAAGTCCAACACTACTCGTCTGACGAATCTTTACTTGAACGAGGCCGATATCAATTGGACATCCCAGATTGGGGCCTTTGATTATGTGATTATCTCTGCTGGAAGATGGTTTTTTGGACCAAAAATGTACTATGAGAATGGTCACGTTGTTGGGTGTCATTTTTGCAAGAGAAACGACACCAAAGAGCTCACCATGTCTTATGGCTACAAAAGGGCCTTCAAAACGGCGTTTGAGGCACTTTTGAGGCTTGAGAGTTTCAAGGGAGTGGTGATTTTGAGGACATTGTCACCTGCTCATTTTGAGAATGGTGAGTGGAATGAGGGTGGGGAATGCAAGAGAACCGAACCGGTTTCGAGGTCGGAAATGAAGATGAATTGGGGTGATTTGGAGTTGTATTTGAGTCAGATTGAGGTGATGAGAGCAGTGGAGAGGGAAGGGAAGAAAAGGGGTGTGAAGTTTAGATTGCTTGATATCACTAAAGCAATGGAAGTTAGGCCTGATGGCCATCCAAACCATTTTGGGCATTGGCCACATGAGAATGTGACTATTGCTGATTGTGTTCATTGGTGCTTGCCTGGCCCTATTGACAGTTGGAATGAGCTTTTGCTTCATATGTTGAAACAAGATCAATGACGATAGATTTTCATTTCTATTTTTAATTTTTTTTTAATTTTTTTTTTTTGTGTGGGACTAGTAGAGAATTTTTTTAATGGAATATTCAACAAACAGAAAGAGGCCAAAAGATATAAAACAAAAATTGTTATGTGGTTGAACTTCAGACCTTGGCTTTTAATTAGTTTAGTTGCACGAAATTTCAGATCCAGATCTTAGAAAAGAGAAAGGTCCAAAGAGTCGAAAACAGCCAAATTAAAGCCAACCCACCAACTTATTAACTGTACATTATTTCTCTTTAGATGAAGATTTATTATGGGTTAGGTAGGAGTGCACAAAATTGCCAGGTCTAGGTGAGGGGTCATTTATTTATTTTTTTTGGTGGTGGATGAGTATTATGTACAAAATTCACGTAAGAATTGACTTGCTTCCATGCATGGCTTTCTGGTACAATTTTTTTTTTCTTTGATAGAAACATATTTGGGGTATATCATAGGAACTGCAAGTTCTTTATATTCCTTTCAGCTCTCTAGCTAAAATATTTTTTTTTCTTTAATATTTTGTATAAGACTACCTAAAATCTAATCTCTTTTTTTTTTTTTTTTTTTTTTTTTTGTAGAAGACAAATTAAGATGGTGTTACATACCTTTCAAAATGCACTGTTTGATTGTCAAATTGGTCACTCATAGTAAACATGAATTCAAATTTGTATCCTCATGTCTTCTCAGCAAACAAATAATTCATAAACTAGTCACCATGTCATCCAAATATTTCACTTCTAACTCACACAACTCCTTCAAGGAAAGAATGCCATTTGAACTCCCATACGCAAAGACTTTACATAAGATTTAAATTACACCCGATGAACGTTAAGAATTAGACGCCCTAAATCTATATATGTAACCGAGAGCAATAAAATCGTGAAAAAATAAGGTAAATAAAATTGACACGCATAATTTATAAAGATTTATTTCAATGTGAGACTACCGTTACAGTGTTTCACTATGATGAAGTTACAAGAGAAAAATTATCCACCTCACATCTCTGTATGTTTAATTAGGGTAGAATTCTCTACTTAAGGCAATAAACAGACATAAATATTAATTAGATTTCACAACTTAATAATGAATACTATTCCACCATTTTATTTTCAATTTGATTGTTCTCTTTTCTTTTCTTTTCTTATTTCTTGCTGAAAACATTTGCTAACCTAATGATAAGCTCTACCAACTGATTTAGAAAACATGGTATCCGATTTTCGTCGAGGAATCTGAGATTTCATTGGTGTCAAAAGCATCTACAACTTGTAATGTAAGCATGGTACCTTGTACAAAAATAGTGAAAAATTGACCTTAAAAAAAGTGATGATAATATGTGATTACAATTGGTACGATGAACCTAGTTATGATAAAGAATAATGACCCACCAAAAACACTTCCATTAATTTCTATTAATCTCATTAATTTGAAAACCATGGCTATCGTTTTGAATCCTTGAAATCCTCTAAAAAATGTACTAATTTGTTACCTATGCATGTCCAACTATTTTTTAGTCAACTAGCTAATATCAATTACATCACAATTGTGACATTAATTTTGTATCGGTCCTGCATAAATTTTCTTGATTGTTGAGAGAATTGCGATAGGCCGATAGCAACTTAGCAACTACTGAAGAATTGTGAAATATCTCAAACTTTGAAAAGCTAGTTTTTCCCATGAAAACATTGAATACAGCCATTTAATTCTCAGTTAGATGCGCAAGTTTACTTTACAAAGACCTAATTTGCAGCTTCTAGAAGTAGTACTGCAAGCATAGCCTATAACCCGACTCCATTTTGAGATGTCAAGTTCAAATCTCCCACGAAAAATAGTAAAAAATTGCAGCTTCTAAAGATGGATGAAGTTGTAAGCAAAACTTTGACAATGAAGCTAAGCTATCTTCAATGATTTACCTATTGAGTTCAGATGCTTCTCAATGGGTACTCATAATGGCATAATATGTTACATATTATTGCTAGATTATGAAAACTTTTTCCATGTACACCACTTGCCACTTGGAGTAGTTAGAGATCCAATCAAACAAAACTTAGGCCCCTTTAAAAATTCAGTGTTACTTAATAAGAAAAAAGGTAACTACTAACCAAGTATCTTGTAATTAACTGAAATGAGGTCATGGTAGGCATTGGAAAAGATATAGATCTACCAAATTAAGAAACTTCTGCTAGCTAGATCATGTGTTTCATTTCCTTTTATGCTATAATATAGAATTGACCAATTAGAATATTCTGTGGTTGCAGCCATTAAATTAATCCCATTGGATTTATTTAATCCAAAATCTTCATTAAAGAAAAACCCATTGGCACAAATTCAAAGTAGTTTAGAGAAAAAAAAATAAAAGAAAAAAAAGAAAAAAACACCCCAAGTCCCACCTATGGAAGTAGCCCAACATTGCCGACAAAGAGAGTTACTTGGTGAAAAATGAAAACTATAGGCACTTGTTTCTCAATTATTAAATGGTCCCATTTCCAAATAATAACCCACAAGAAATCCAGAATAAAGTTGAAAGATGCCACTATTCTAACGTCAAAGCGAAAGGAAAATTCCAAACTGTGACAGCTGTGTGTGAGAGAGACTAATTTTCAAAGGGAAATTCAAGTTTTGTAATCATCATGAGCGACTTCACTCCTAAGCCACACCAGTTTGTTATGCATAACTTGGCGCTGTATCTCTACATGATCATCAAATTTTCACAAATTTTGGCCCCATGGTATTTTATGTGTAACAACCTTGAAGTGACTCAAAGGCTCCTAGTAATTAATACAAAAAATATGAGCCTATGAAGTGAGAAATCAAAGGGACATAAATTAATTTGATCATATTGCTATTCTCATACTCAATGTTATATATTTTTTTATCATATGTGTGTATATATATATGTATGTATGTATGTATGTATGTATAAATGTATGTATACATGCACATACACCCAGACCCCTAAAAACTTCCCTAGCAATGTGATAAAACCAATATGTATTATATACACTATAGTATATTCAGACTAGATTAGAACCTTTTCTGAGCCATAATATAATAAACTCTTTAGAGTATAAGACTAGATTAGTACCTTTTCTGAGCCATAATATTTTAAACTCTTTAAAAATTGAAATGGTTTTCATTGTGGGATGATTAGAAATAATTATGACATATAATTGCTTTTTGTATATACACTATGCACAAGAATATATATACGCACACAATGTGTGGTGACAAGAGAAGCCAATAGCAATCTACTTTCTACTTTCAATAAAATATGTTTGTCCTTTTATCCTTTTAATCACTCGGAAATTTTTAATCAATTATGTAACAGCAAATATTCTCTGTACCTCGGTAGGCAAAAAATAAAAAAAAAATAAAAAAAATAAAAAGCACACAGAACGATGAAGCAAAAAATCAGAGGAGAAAATTCCCCTATTTAAAATGGGAGTCAGCCGTTTGTACAAAGAACACCGACAGCATAATTTTCTACTTTATGGACGTTTATGATTAAATGTGCAAAATTGATAAATTAATTAACGTTATATTTTATAACATTGACCTTTTGGTCAAATTAGTCTACTTGTGGTTTTCAATAGTTGAAATAAGGTGGATTTAAATTGCTTGGAAAGAACGTCAAAAAATAAAATAAAATAAGAAAAAATTGACCTTTCAGCTCATAACAAACTTTCCACGTCCACGCAAACAGAAGCAATCCTAAATTACATGGTTTAACTCAAAGCACACGAAATTGAAATTCAACCTCAGTGAAACAAATCCACATTCCATAAACCGTAATACCAAAAAGCAAGTTCAAAAGGCCCATTAAAAAAAAAAAAAAAGCAAGTTCAAAAGGCATTAATCAAAATATATGATTTGGCATGAGACACTTTGTTTCCAGATTAGCATCTTAATTATGAACAATGATGTTTCACCAAAAGATTTAATAAAGTTGAATCATAATGTTTAATCTGGTTGTTAAGTCATGCCAGAAAAGCTGCTTTAGAAAGAGCTAATTAATTAAGTGTATTAAACCATCCAAGGACAACAGCCATTGACCACAGTATTCTGCTGACAAGGCACAAGTAGTACCACTGAACCAATATATACATGCCAAAACAAATCCATATTGTCTCTGCTTCACACAAATTTTCACCATGAAGTACCACCCCATTCAAGACCTTCAAAGTGTTAAAATCCCACAACCCAATTCTTACAAAAGGGTTATTTTTCTAATTTTTTTCTTCATTCTTCTCACTTCATTCCCATTCTGTCTCAAAAACCCTTCTCCTCCTTCAATACCATTGCCATCTCCAGAGAATGATGTTGATAGCTTGAAGGGCAAAGATCAATATTCAGCCAAAACTTGTGATGTGTTTAATGGAACTTGGGTTCCATATCTTGAAGAGCCTTACTACACAAATGGGAGTTGCCCTTGGATTATTGATCAGCAGAATTGTATGAAGTTTGGGAGACCAGACCAGGAGTTCTTGCAATGGAGGTGGAAGCCAGATGATTGTGAGCTTCCTTTGTTTGATGCTGTTGAGTTTCTTGAGCTTGTTAGAGGGAAATCTTTGGCCTTCCTTGGAGATTCTGTTGGAAGAAACCAAATGAATTCTTTGGTGTGCCTTCTTGGCAAAGTAAGCATTGAAAACTAAGCCATTTTTAATTTTCTCTTTATTTATTTATTTTTTGGATATAATAACCCTCTATTTTATATGCAAATTCATGGTTTTTCAATTAGGTGGCTTATCCAGAGGATGTCTCAGAGAAATACTACAACAATACAGAATATTTCAAGCGCTTTATCTACCCGGAATACAATTTCACAATAGGAGTACTTTGGGCGCCATTTTTGGTCAAAACCAGAGAGACAGACCCCAAAGTCTATTCAGGCAACAGCAGGATGAATCTCTACTTGGATGAGCCTAATGAGGGATGGTCAACGGAGGTTGAGAAATTCGACTATGTGATCGTCTCCGCGGGGCAATGGTTCTTCCGGCCGCTCATGTTACACGAGGGCGGCAGGCTCATCGGGTGCTCGAAATGTATGGAAAAAAACATCACTGAACTCACTCCCCATTATATATACAGGAGGGCCTTCCGGACAGTG